TGGGTGGCTCAGTCAGTTAAGCATCCGACTTCGGCTCGGGTCATGATCTCGCAGTCCGTGAGCTTGAGCCCCACATTGGGGTCTGTGCTGACAGCTCAGAGCCTGGAATCTGTTTCAGATTCTGTGTCTCCCTCTCCCTCTGCCCCTCCCCAGCTCGTGCTCTGTCTCTCTCTGTCTCAAAAATAAATAAACATTAAAAAAGTTAAAAAAAAAAAAAGAAGTATAAACTCTTCTAAATCTATGTTGTTTTCATTTTGTCTGTTTCTCCAGCTCCTCATTGCACATGGCAAACCCTTGGCAAATGCTTTGAGACTAGATTGTTACACAAATTTTCTAGGGAGTTATTGTCCATCAACAAGAAAATTAGAAATATTAAAAAATGATGACAGGTGTTTTGACTGATCATTCCTTTGGAGACAGTGCCAGTTTTTTATAAGTTAAAAAAAAGTTTATTTTGAGAAAGAGAGTGAGCATCCATGCGTGCACTCTCAGAGAGAGAGGGAGAGAGAGCATCGTAAGCAGGCTTTGCTCTGTCAGGGCACAGCCTGATGTGGGGCTGGTTCACGGACTGAGGGATCATGACCTGAGCTGAAATCCAGACCCGGAAGTGTAACTGACTGAGCCACATAGGCGTCCCTAAACGATGCCATTTAAAGAACAAACACTTTGTTTTTATTTTGAGACAATGCAGTAAAGAAGGAACCCCCTGATTTTTATTCTGAGGTCATTGTAGGTCCACATGCAGTTGTTAAATGATGCAGAGATCCCTCGTACCCTTTACCTATTTTTGCCCAAATGGTAACATCTTGCAAAACCATAAAACCACAATCAGTACATTTTGAAATATTTAAGGTACAGAATATTTCTGTCATCAAGGAGCCCTCATATTATTCTGTCATAGCCACAACTATTTCCCTTCAGCCCCAACCCCTCCTTAGCCCTGATATGATGATGTGATTTTTCTTCTCCAGCCTTCTGATGTGGTAGATTACGCTGATTACTTTTGAAATATCCAGCTAGCCTTCTTTCCTCGGAAGAAACCCCACTCGGTCATGGCTTATAATTCTTTGTATAGTCGCTGAATTCTGTTTGGCAATAATTTAAGGATGTTTTTGTTTGTATTTATAAGACATTTTGGTTTGTAGTCTAGAATGATTCTGCCATTCGTAACAAGCCTGGCTGGCAGGTTGATCCTGACCTTCATGCCCTGCAGGTCAAGGTAGTATTACTAATCACTTTAGCTAAAACGGGACAGATTTCTCAAAATTAGCCAAGTGAAAGAAGCTAGTAAAAAAAAGTATAATCCATTTGATTCCATTTATTTGGAATGGAATAATTAGAAAATGCGAATTTATCTATCGGGACAACAATAGATTGTGCATATCTCAGGAGAGGAGCTGAGGTCATATGGGGGGAGAAGTAAACTTTGGTCAGGAGGCAGGGGAGTGGATATTTTCATGATCTTGAATGTTGTAATGCTTTCACAGGTATCTACAGAAATTCAAAGTTTATCAATATGAGTAGTTCGTGGTATGTCATTTATACCACAATAAATAAAAGAGCTAATACATGCAAAACCAAACAAACAAAACCTGGGGATAGATTGTATACCACCTTTTCTCTCTCTTTTATTAATTTTTGAGACAGAGGCAGAGTGCAAGCAGGGGAGGGGCAGAGAGAGAGAGAGAGAGGGAGAACAGAATCCGAAGCAGGCTCCAGGCTCTGAGCTGTCAGCACAGAGCCCGACGCGGGGCTCGAACTCACTAACCACGAGTTCATGACCTGAGCCAAGGTTGGACGCTTAACCGACTGAGCCACCCAGGCGCCCCTCATACTGCCTTTTCTAACTGGAAGACTCATTGTAGGGAAAGCCACCCATGGGATACACCTCAAGTAATGAGCCAATTAATCTCTCTGGAAGCTTCTAGAAGATTAGTTTTGGAGTCATCGCCTCTGTTGGTCTACTTGTTGGTTACCTGAGAGCCCGCTCGTGGTGTTTTCTTGAAATACCCACACGTCTAGGATGCAGATAATGGCGCTTTGGGGAAGGAGGCACGTTAATACTGACTTCCACAAAACAAAAATAAACCCAAAAAAACAACACAGGCCTGGTGGGACCATGGTGTCCTTGGGAAGAAATGTCTTTGCAGTTGACACCTGGGAGCCGTGTGACTCAAAGGCACAGGTTGTCAAGGGCTGCAGTGTAACCCTCGATCAGCTGGTGGGCAGGAGGCTTTCACTTGAGTACACATCACTGCGGGTGGAACTTGCCTTCGGAGGGGCTGCCTGAGGGCAGTCAGTCCGGTCTGTCCTGTCAGTGCCACCGGCTGAGTGGCGTTTGTCTGTGGGAACGGGTGGAGAAGACGCCTGGCAATGTTGACAGGTGTTTTGCATGGGAGGCAGAGGGCCCGGGGTACACGCTTCCAATGGACTCATTGGTCACGGTGATCATGTAGTGGTCAGAGCCGTCTTTTAGCGGTTGGCAGATTCGGGTATCGGGGAATTGGAGGTGCTTACAGTGCTTTGGGGGAAACTCAGCCGGATGTTTTGCCTCAGGAGACTGTTGCAGGGACTGGCAGTTGTGAAAGATGAACGTTCTCCAACGCGCCACCCTCCCCGCCCATGTTTCCTGGGGTGTAAGTTGTTGTCTCCTTAGATCGAGGGTCTTCCCCTCCCTCCACCTGTACACAAATCTGTGTGCCTCCTTCCAGCGGCTGCCACTTCACCTTTCTTCTAATCAATTCCTATTCCCTGAAGGGATTTTTTTCCTTTTTAAATACTCTATTTTTAAGTAATCCCTACGCCCAAGGTGGGGCTCAAGCTCAAACCCCGAGATCGAGGGTTGCACCCTCCACCAACCGAACCAGCCAAGTGAATTTTTATAAAACTCACAGAGATGCAGTATGTCCCCTGCTCTGGACTGCAGTGCATGTGCGGGGGGTCATTAGTCTTGTGATCTGGGACCTGGTCGGTTCAACAAGAGAATCCAGGCACCTGAACCAGAATTCACAGCCCCGGCGCCCCTTTGGGCTACTGGTCACATGGAAGATGTACCAATACGGCTGGCAGAGGAAAGAAAGAGGCATTTTCCAAAGGAATGGCCAGTGTAGAATCCCGGGATGCCACGTTGGTCTGGAGCCACCCCCTGACCCCCACTGCGGTGCTGTTTGTTCTGATCACGACCCAGGAAACTACGGAGAAAGGCTGGTCCTTTCCTGGGGACGGCCACATTCAGGGAATGGACCGCTATACTTTGTACATTGTGTGCTCCAGGAGGAGACGAGGCAGGTAGGGCGAGAAATCTTTTGTGAGTTGATTTCTCAGGAGTCTTTTTTCAAACAATTCCAGGTTGCTGTGGATGGTAGGGCGGAGTAGACCTTGACTTTCAGCCCTTCGTTCCTTAGTGCTTGCGATGAAGGATGAGCCATTGTCAGACTACAGACTGTGTGGAAAACCAAACACGTGGCACAGATTCTTTTCAGCTGTCACAGTCTTTTCAGTGTCACGTGATCTGGAACATTAAGTCTATAGCCTGAAAAGGAAATGTCTTCGGGAGGTCAAAGGTCAGACGCAGGCAGTCTGCCAGGGGCTGGTGGAGGCCACAGCCCGTGTGGAATGGCCTCCCTCACCTCAAGACCAGCGCGTCACCTTCGGGCTGGAGTCACAAGTCTGGCATGCGGCGGTGGCTGCGCATCAGAAGCAGAGTTCTCTTTGCTGTGCCCGCACACATGGGTGGACCGAGGCAGCAGCGGTGGCAGTCCAGGTGGTGTGGACGCCATCGGCAGCTGGAGTCCGGGTGAGTCGCCCAGAGGGATCGTTCGGCAGCTGAGAATTGTCGCCACAGCTCACACCCGGTGGACAGTTTTCCAAGAGGCAGATCAAGCCGCCAGGCCCTTGGCAGCGGCTCATGGGTCAATACAAATATCAGATTCATCCGTGGGAACGGCCTTGAGTTCTGCCCACTGAGCAGAGTGACCACGTCCATTTTCGGTTCTTTGTGGGGAGGGGATGCAGGGGAACTTGTGGTGGGATTTCTCTGCCTGTAATGGACAAGGAAGTGGAAGTAAACATAACCTATTGTTTATGCATTCAAATGAAAAAACAGCAGTACTTTGGGTTGGCCTGAAGGGCCCCATCCTCTAGGTCACATTAGGCTCCCTCCCCCACTGAATCGAATCCACACCCCATTGGCTGGATCTGAGTACCTCCTTGCACAGAGTCACTTATGATGGTGACATAGAGCCATAAAAGTTGGAGCTCCTCCCTTCCCTGAAGTCCCCCAGCACACCTGGGTGCACGAGGCTTTCAGTCCCTCTTGAGGACAAGGGAGACCTCAGTCTCCCCACAATTGTCCATCTTCTGACAGTAGATGTCAGGGTGGAGGGTGAGGGGAAGGACTTGGGGTGCAGAGCCGGAGAGTGGCTCTCTGCCAGGAAGCAAGGCACCCTCTTAATTCTCAGTTGCCTGGTGGCTGGTCATCACTCAATTTAATGAACTTTTCAGCCACCCGAAGCTCGAGATCCTCATTGCAGACATCATTTGTTTAGGCTCTGGGGACTCCTTTACTGTTCCAGCAGCCAGAGCCACATTGCCTCATCGGAGAGCTGGCGTGCAGCACTGGCGAGGAGAGTGAGCCACAGCCGGAGCACCGCTGGACAGATCCCAGGGGATCTTCTTATATCCCCAAAGCACCCGAGACCTTCATCTTTTCTGTTCCCGAAAGCCGTGTCTCTACAAGCATCCCACTGTCGGCAGCAACTGCCCGGAACTGCGAAGAACCTGAAATTTTATCCTAGTTGAAAGCTGACAGCCAGCCCGTCCGGGTCTGCCCGATGCCGGCAGAAGACACGGCAGCCTGGGGTCAGAGACAATGGACTGTCTGTACATAGCACCGTCAGCAATGTGAGTTGCATGTTTGTGTCAGTGCCTCCTGCCTCACAAATCCCACGGGGGCGATGCAGCGTGGCCCAGAGAGACGCGGCCCACTTAGCAGGTTTGAGTCGCGGCTGTAGAGCCCTGCGTTGAGGTGATCGCAGTCTACATGCTGGCAGAGAACAGACTCCTGGATCGCAGGCAAAGGACTGTGGCCCAGCACAGCCAATGGCAGGAGCCTCGTGTTTGTGTATTTCCTCCTGCCCCTCGAGTCTGCAGCTGTAGAGCCCTGAGTTGAGGTAATCCAGATTTTTAAGTGGCACAAACCTGCCCAACCCTAGCCTGGAGGGGGGCCCTACTTTTGTTATGCTGGACAGTAAACAACTCTGCCCAGACACACACCTGTGCATAGATCATTCACAACGAAAGCAGCTATTTCGTCATAAGATGTGCACAGTGCAAGAGGTCCATGGAGAATTGTCTCCCAGTGCGTGGTCAAAGGTTGACGTTCTCACTGAGGATTGGGACTCAAAAAAAGTAGAATTTATATTCAGTATACTTTGTTTAAGATGGAAAGTGTGTTGAATATTCTTTCTAAACAGTGAAGTGTCTAATCCTTGGGGAAACTCGACTGTCCAGGATAGCTAATTCTTGGAGAGTCTTACTTGCCTTGAATAGAGAACACAGCTGTGATGTTTGTGTCTTTACCCCGACGTGAGGGCCACAGAGGCAGGTCTGTGGAATCACAGGTGTTGGTTTTTCAGGGGATGATATACTCCAGGTGAATGGCATTCAACATTTTATTTATTAGAATTGCTTATGACTCTGCCTCAGGAAAGGGCAGATGCTAATGGCATTATGCAATAGAGTAGTTACAACACTGAGAAACATTTTTGTAGTCATCAGATTTAGCTAATATTTATTTTGTACTTAGTGTACTTAGTGTGTTATCTAAACCCGTAAGAAAGAAGACTGTTTTTTTAACCTACTTAAAAAAATGGTTGAGGTAGGGCACCTGGGTGGCCCAGTTGGTTAAGGGTCTGACTTCACTTCAGGTCATGATCTCACTGTTCGTGAGTTCGAGCCCCACACTGGGCTCTATGCTGACTACTCAGAGCCTGGAGCCCACTTTGGATTCTGTGTCTCACCCTCTCTCTGCCCATCCCCTGCTCACACTCTGTCTCTCTCTCTCTCTCTCAAAAATAAACATACATTAAATGAATGGTTGAGGTTAAAAACTTTAAAATCATTCATAAGTTAATACATTGAAAATGTCTTTCTCAGATGTTTTATGTCCGTGAAAGATGAATAAACTGCGTTTTCTAATAGCGCTTTGATTTCAGTTGTACAAGTAAATACTTAGAAGAAAAAGGCCAAGGGGTTTTCAAATGTTTATTGAATCCTCACGTGGTCTTAGTCTATAAATGTATACTTAATTTCATATTTAAAGAATTATGCTTTGGAGAAACTGTAAAGCAAATTCCTGTTCAGTTTTTCCCTTTTTATTACAATGACCAGCTTTTACTATTTCATTGTTACTGAGATCTATTTTTACAATAAAAGTTTGTTCTCCCTCTAGGAGTTAGAAAACCAAAGCATGCTTTTGAAGTAGGGCCAGAAGAGATTAGAATGGAATTAACCTTTCACTTTTAGTCATAGTCTTCAATGTCATGTAATTTCATTTATGAACTTCATAAATAATTCTTATGAACTTTAGTTATATTGAAATACTATATAAAGGTATTAATTTGCCAAGGTTAAGTTCTCTTTCAAAGGTGAACATTTATCATTTGCTTTCTTAGGATGCTAGGTGCTTAGTATTTTTAAGAGTAATAAAAAATACTGAAGGTTCCCCCACCCTAGTCTTAAATTCCCCCCCTCACCCCCATTTTGGTGAAATGACACATTTGGATAACATTTAACAATACATAGGAGTATTTACAAGCTAACTTGATACATGACAGCTTTGGTTCTATAATACTTACATTTAGGAAGTAGATGTAATTTTACAAAGATGTTTGGTTTTTCAAAATGATGCACCCTAGGAATCTGTTAAAATTCAAGACATATATACCACTTCTTGGAAATCTGCCGGTTGAAGGAAGGAAGGTCACCCGGTGCCCTCCACTGTCTAGTGGTTATAGAATCTTCTCCATGTTGACTGCTTGAATGTCGAGTGCTTTCATACTCTGAAAGCTTCTAATACTCAACTCATTCTGGATTCCGTTCTCTTACAGAAAGGTCTAGAGCATGCCTTCTTCAAATGCTTTTAAAGGCATATGTACTTTTTTTTTTTTTTGCAAGAAAGTCTTCATTATTTGTGTATTCTTTATTTGTGAATTCGCCTACTCCCTAAAATTTATTTTAACCCTGAAAGCAGTACTCAGAGTACTTTTTTGGTGGAAATAACATGCGCAGAACAGTGAAAAATTTGGTCCCCAGCGTTCACGCTCTCGGCCAACGGCAAACAAGGGGACCTTCTTGTTTTAGCCCTCATGTTGTAAACAAGGGGCCGGTTTACTTTCTGTTTAGTGACATACTTTTCACATCTTTGTGCCTTTTGTTGGTGAGCCCGCTATTCAAAGTGACCACGTGCTGTGCCAAAGTGCAGTCTGATGTTCCTGAGCGCACAAAGGCTGCAATACGCCCGCAGAAGAAAAATACGCGTAGACGATAACTTTTGCGCAGACACAAGTTACGGGGCTGTGAGCTGAATGTTAATCCTAAGTCCACAATGTAAAAAAGGCATCTTTAAACACCAGCGCACATAAAGCAAGGTTATGTATCGATCGCTTGGTGAAAATGTTGTGACCAGATGCAGCAGAGACTCGTGAGAACCTAACCCCGTGTTTCCTGAGGGGCAGTGGCTCAGTACTTACCAATTCACTTTATAGACTTTGTCCGCTGCAAAGAACAGGGGCCTGTGCCAACTGGCCTACGGTGTTCAGCCCGGGATTTTGCCACGAGGAGAGGAGCCGGCTTGGAAGGAGAAGGGCTGGGCCTTCAGGGAAGCTGGTAGGGAAGCCTGGCCCGGGCTCTCCCCGACCATTCCCTGCTGAAGCTCCACCTTGGCTGCTTGTGCCTCTGGAGCCGGGCGGTAAAAAACAGCTCCAACCTGTCCTGTAAGCACCAGGGAGCTCTGGGCCGGAGGGAGGCCTCTGGGCTGCTCCATTCTCGGCTCTGATGATGGCCTGGTTACCTGTCAGGGACCTGGGAGCCCCAGGTGACAGGTGCATTTTGCATTTGCTTCTTTGTGCTTTTGCTTCTTTGTTTGCAAGAGTGTAGTTTGCTTTGGATACTTTTTCTTCAGGATCCCAAACCAGTGGGAAAGTAGCAGCCAGAACAGGTTTTGTTAGGCAGGGAGGTTTAAAGACCTTCCTAAGCCTTAGGCAGGGTTATGCTTCTTTTTTCTTTCCTTCCCTTCTCTCTTCTCCCTTCCCTTCCCTTCTCCCTTCCCTTCTCTGTCTCCTTTCCTCTCCTCCCTTCCCCTCCCCTCCCCTTTCCATACCCCTCACCCCTCAGCACTGTAACGATTCAAATCCCCACCCCACATCATATAAAATGTACCCATATGCTACATAAAACCTGACATCGAATTATGAACAGAGTTGAGTTGCTGTGGAAGGTTATCTGTTGTAGGTATTTGATTAAATGTCAACTTTCATTTTTAAACATTTTCATATTCTGGAGTAATAAGTTGTTTCTTTTACGGTCTCAGACACATTCGTGGGCTGTGGAAGAGCTCACAGACCCTAGGTACTGTGACGGCAGTGCAGGACGGACGTGGCGAGGGTCCTTGGGGAAGGCTTCAGATTTCCCTCAGCCCATGAGCTGTGCGACAGTTCTCCTGACATCACGGGGGGCTCAGATGTGCCTCAGGCCACATGTATTACTGAGTCGACAAAAATAAGCCCGTCCTTCCCTCAGAGGCTTGTACCCCAGGCGCCTTTAACAGTTGCCTTCACTGCCGCATGACCCATGCTGTGGGCTGGCTGAGGGTCTGTCAGCTCAGCCTGGGGCAGAGGAGGAGCTGGTGGCAAAGGTGTCCCCCAGCAGGTGGTCCAGATTGGGTTTTGAAGGATGCGTGTTTGCAGGGTGAGGCCGAGACGCGAGGGGCAGAGGGAGTTTGGGGGATAGAAGAGCGGGTGGAAAGGTATGGCAGAGGCTTGGAAGCAGCGTGGTACGTGCGGGAAGCCTTGGGCTGTCCTTGATGCTGGAAGGCAGACTGTGGTGGTGGTGGTGACGGACAGCATCAGCGAGGAGGGAAGGGCTGGGTACCCAGGGCCTTGGCGCCATCTTCGACAAGGTTAGACCCATCCTGGGTGCGTGACCTACTTCTGGTGCCTCGGCTGCGTAAGCTTCAGATTTATTTGGTATCCTTAACGCGTGTCGGTTGCCTAGCCAGGTGTCTAACCCTCTCTCTCCTTTACAGTATTGATATATTTCTGGACTGTTTATTTTTGTTCAGTTATCTCTTCTTACAAGAGATGGAAATGGCTTTGTTTTAAAAATAACTTTAAAAAAATAACTATTTGTTGATGCCTAACACGCGAAAGGAAGCCTATAGGGAAAGAGCTAAACTTAAGAACGCATGATCGTTACTAAAACATTGAGCAGTATTAAGGATATATAAAACAGGCAGCAGTCGCTTATGTGTCTGCCGTTTGGAGGTGGCCACTGTCAGCATTTTGGCAAATGTTGCCCTGGACGGTCGCTGTATTTATGGAGATGCTACGTACTGGCCGCTTCCTAGCTTGTGTTTGTTTTTATTCACTGATATGCCATAGCCAGCTTTCAGAGTTAGTGTCCCTGGGACCATATCGCCCTTGGTGGCCGCAGGGGGTCTTATGGCAATCGTGTGACACAGCAATCACACCATTCACTGTCTGACATAATTTACTTGACTAGTTCTTCGTTGCCGGGCGTCTAGATGGATTCTAACTTTTGTTAACTCTTGGAATCACTTCTGTGGAAAGCAGCTTCACTGAACGTACATCTCCGTGTACTTATCTTTTCTTAAGATATTTTTCTCGTGAGAAATTTTAAACATGAAAAAATAGAAGAGTGTGACAAGGCCCCATCCATACCCAGCTCGAGCCGTTGACAGTGTTCTGGTTCTACCGTCCTTTTTTTTTTTTTTTTTCAAAAAAATTTTTAGGTTTATTTATTTTGAGAGAGAGAGAGAGAGCGAGCGAGCAAAGGATGGGGAGGGGCAGAGAGAAGGAGAGAGACAGAATCCTAATGGCTTCTTGCCATTAGCACAGAGACTGATGCGGGGCTCAAACTCACAGACTGTAATATCATGACCTGAGCCAAGATCATGCGTCGGATGCTTAACCAACTGCGCCACCCAGGTGCCCCTATATATACCTTACTCTTATAAGACAAGGACTCAGATGGGGCGCCTGGGGGGCTCAGTCAGTTAAGCGTCCGACTTCGGCTCAGGTCATGATCTCATGGTTTGTGAGTTCGAGCCCCACATCGGGCTCTGTGCTGACAGCTCAGAGCCTGGAGCCTGCTTCGGATTCTGTGTGTGTGTGTCTCTCTCTCCAGCTCCCCTGCTCATGCTCTGTCTCTCAAAAATAAATCAATGTTAAAAAATTTTTTAAGATAAGGACTCAGAAACATCATATCAAATAAATGGAACTAACATCAATTCCTAATATCACCTAATATTATGCAGATCACAACCCGTCTAAATGTTGCTTTGGTTGATAGATCTCTTTAAGTTTCTTTTAATATATTATCTTCTCCTCCTTCTTTATTTCTTGTGTTATTTATTGAAGAAACCAAGTTATCTATTGAGTACAGTTTTCCAGTCTGAACTTGACTGATGGCCTCCTTCTGGTGTCATTTGACGTGGTCTTCTACATAAACAGAAAGTTAGATCTGGAAACTAGCATCATTCATTAAGGTTGATGAGTAAGTTCAGGTGCCATCAGCCCCCAATATATCTGTTCTAAAGTTCCCCATCATTCCTGTCCCTACTCATTTTGGCATCCCTTTACGATCTTTCCTTGCATTTATTATTTCATAGGATTTTCAGAATGATGATTTGTAGCAACTTTTAATTTTGGGATAATTGTAGATTCACTTGCAGTTGTTGGAAATCATACAAAGAGCTCCTTTATGCCCTTCACCCAGTTTCTCCCAGTGGTCATACCTTGCTTGAGTATATAGTCTAGCATCACTGGCAGGGATTGACCTTGATACAATCCAGGGACGGTATACAGATTTCACTAGTTTTACATGCATGTGTATTCAGTTCTGTGCAGTTCTGTCACATGTGTTGATAAATGTGGATAACACCACAGTCAAGAATCAGAGCATTTTTATCACAAGGCTCTCTGATGCTACCCCCTTATAGCCATAGCCACTCCCTTCTCTCCTCCTTTCCTAACCCTGACAACACCAGTCTGTTCTTCATTTCTGTAATGTTGTCGTTATAAGAATGACATATAAATGGAATTCGACAGTCTGATACCTTTTGTGGTTGGCAATTTTTATTCAGCTTTGTTTCCTTGAGATCCATTAGGACTGTTGCACGAGTTCATAGTTTATTCCTTTTATTACTGAGTAGTATTGCATGATATGGATACACCACGGGTTGCGTAGCAGTTTACGTATTGAAGGACGTATGAGTTGTTTCCAGTTTTGGGGTATTACGAAGGAATATGCTACGAGCATTATATTCAGGTTTCTGCGTGAGCATTAAGTGTTCATTTTTCTGACATAAATGCCCAAGAGTACAGTGGACAGGACGTATGATAAGCGCATGCGTAGTTTTGTAAGAAACTGACCTATTCTTTTCCAGAGTTGCATTCCCACCAGCAGTGCATGAGAGATCTAGTTTCTCTGCACCCTTACCAACGTCTGGTGATATCACTGTGTTCTATTTTAGCCATTCTGATAGCTGTGTAAATCATGATTTTAAAATTCTGTCATTCTTGGGGCACCTGGGTGACTCAATCAGTTGACCATCCAACTTAGGCTCAGGTCATGATCTCTTGGTTCATTGGTTCGAGCCCCACACTGGGCTCAGTGCTAATGGCTAAGAGCCTGGAGCCTGCTTCGGACTCTGTGTCTCCCTCTCTCTGCTCCTCCCACACTCTCACGCTGTCTCTATCTCAAAAGTAAATAAATGTAAAGAAAGTTTTTAAAATTCCGTCACTTTTAGCTGTAATTCTTCTAGAAGAAATAACTTTTCTTCACCAGCTGTTTGGTAACCATGGAATGTAGTCTGTAAGAGAAGCATAAAATTTGGTTATTTTTCTCATTTCTATGCCCCATCCCACCTTGGTAAGCCAGTTTTCAGAAAAACAAGGGCCGTGTTAGCTCCCAGAGGGACTGATTGGCCTTTTTAAAGGTATCATTATGAACTCATGTATTTTAAAAATATTTGACGTGGTTATCTGCTTGGGGTAAGTCAAAGGGGCGGTAAACTAAAAATTTTGATGACCTCACTCCTCTCCAGAAAGGCTGTACCCAATTTATGTTCTTAGTAGTAGTGTATAAAAAATATTTCTCCACATTCTTGCCAACACTGGTTTGGCCACTTCTTTTTTTAATTTATTTTTTTTTAACATTTTTTATTTATTTTTGAGAGACAGAACATGAGCAAGGGAGGGCAGAGAGAGAGAGGGAGACACAGAATTCGAAGGAGGCTTCAGGCTCCGAGCTGTCAGCCCAGAGCCCAACACAGGGCTTGAATCCACGAACCGCGAGATTATGACCTGAGCCAAAGTCAGATGCTTAACTGACTGAGCCACCCAGGTGCCCCATCCACTTTAAAATTTTAAAACATTTTACCAATACGATGGCAAAATCCCTGTCTTACTATTTCTGTTTGCCATTTGTCAGTTACTAGTAAAGTTGATCAACTTTTCTCATTATTGACTTTGTAAAGATAGCCGAATACCTTTACCTGTGTTTCTCTTAAGATATTGGTCTTTTCTGATATATTTCTGTTGGTCTATCTATCAGCCTTTTTCTGGATGGTTGTTGGTTTTTCTTCAGTTAGGAAGGGCTTTCTTAAGATTATAAAAATAGGTCTTTAAATGTAGATATTTGTTCCTTATGTGATTTATTTTTGTATAAGGAATGAGGTAAGACACTAGCCTTACTTCTCTCCGAATGTCTCACCATTCTCCTAATGCCATTTGTTAAACTATCTTTTCCCCATTCATGTACAATACCACTTTTATCTTCCACTAAAGTCTCTAATCTGGAGTCTGTTTCTGAGTTTTCTGTTGTATGCCACTGATTTGCCAGTTTTTCCTGCTCTATTATCACAGCTTAAATTACTACAGCTTAAATGACTTAAATTAGTTAAAATAGTTGAATTATCCTTTAAGATTTTTACTGTTGACTTTTGTAAGCATATGAATCAGACCAGCTTATTCATGTATTGCTATTATATGTCTGTTGCTTCATTATGTGTTTCAGTAATTGATGCTTTTTTTACCTTGTATAACTTTGATGACCAAGCTCACAAATGTATTCTTCCAGATAGATTTTAGAAATATTTGTGACATGGTCCTCAAAGCACCCTTTTATACTTTGATTGAGATGTTATTCAATTTATAGAACAATTTAGGGGAGAACTTGATTTCTTTACAACTTTGAGCCTTCATAGTTAAGAACACGGTCATTTCATTTATTCAGATCTTTTGTCTGTCCTTGGATACTTTTTTATTAATTTATTCCAGAGTTTATTGTTTTGGTTTCTCTGTCCCTTCAGTGGAATGTCTTTTAAATTTGACCAGATTCATTTTTTTTTCTTAAGTAGGTTGAACCTCTAGGGAAATGTCACGTTTTATAATCTGTAATATTAGCTTTCTTTTTTTTCTTTAATCTTCATTTATTTTTGAGAGTGAGACAGAGACAGGGTGTGAGCAAGGGAGAGGCAGACACAGAACCTGAAACAGGCTGCAGGCTCCGAGTTGTGAGCACAGAGCCCGACGCTGGGCTCAAACCCACAAACCGTGAGATCATGACCTGAGCCGAAGTCGGACGCTTAACTGACTGAGCCACCCAGACGCCCCTGTAATATTAGCTTTCTAAACCATCTCTTTAGTATGCCTGCATTCCTAAACCACCAAGCTATAATTCCCTCAGTGCTTAAAATAAATCCAGTAATGGCTGGCTTCTGACAGTAGCTATTATTATTTAGTTACTGATACAAATTACAACACATTTCTGATGGAGATGACAATGCATTGCTGACCAAATTAGATATTAACTCAGATTTGCAGTTTCACCTATTTAAGTATGACACTTGGGAAGCTTTTTATTAAGTGAAAGAAACAAACCTGTAATTATAAATCAGTTTCACAAGGCATGCATGTACCAGCCTGCCCAGCCTCCTTAGATCATGATGGAGGTTGGGGACTCCATCAGTAAGCACACGGTGTGGGAGAGACGGCTGGGCACCCTGGAGCTGACGGTGGGCATGCACGCTTGCTGGGCAATTGTGAATGGACGTTGTTCAGACTGTTCCCCTGTCCCTTGCCACAGGAATCTCTCCGCATGGCTTCCCGAGAAGTGACCATTACTGTTCGCCTCATTCGTTCTTTTGAGCATCGCAATTTCAAACCTATAGTGTATCATGGAGTCAATTTGGACCAAACTACGAAGGAATTTATAGGATTTCTAAAGCAAGGTATGAGATGCCTTAATCATTTCATTTTATCAGTCTTTTGAAAAAAATAGTTGACTATTATATTGATGGTAATCTTTTAAAAGTACTTTGAAAGAGATTAATTTAGGTTCTCAGCCAGGTGCCGGGCGGCTCTTCCCGGGCCTTGGCATCAGCCACAGTATCTTCCCAAGGCTCATTGGGCACTGTGAGTGCCTTCCTCAGGGATTATTACCCTCATGTTTGGCTCCTCCCTCCCCCTCCCGCTTTTTTTTTTTTTTAAGCGTATTAATTAATTTAAGAGAGGGAGAGAGAGCATCTGCGGGGAAGGAGTGGAGACAGAGAGAGAATCCCAAGCAGGCTGTGTACTGTCAGCACAGAGCCCGATGCAGGGCTTGAACCCACGAACTGTGAGATCATGAACTGAGCTGAAACCAGGAATTGGATGCTTGATCAGCCGAGCTACCCAGGTGCCATTCCCCCTCTCCCACCATTTTTTTTAATTAAAAAAAATTTAAGATCTCGGTTTGCTTGTAGTGGGCTTATTCGGTATTTGGAGGTTGATTAACAAGGGAATGCAGCGTAGCCCGTGGTGTCACCTGGCCGAGCACATAGAAGGCCCCTCGGGGAGCCTGGTAGGAAAGTGTCAGGCCTCTGTCTGTACAGCCAGAGACTCATGAGTGCTGTCGTCACTGCAATCACAGAAATGACAGCCAGACCAGCTGGCACTAGTTTGTCATTTGAGCTTGACGTTCAGTAGGCGTGAAGGCTTTTTTGTAGGACCTCGATGGGTTTCTAACCCTCGTTTTTAATTTTTGAAGTGTTCCAATCATCAACAGTTGATAAAACATCTAGAATAAGCTTTTATTATTTTAATTGAAATAGAATTAACATATGATGTAATGGACAGATTATAGTTCCATGAGTTTTGACAAATATATCACTTTATATCCAACTTAAATCTTTTTTTCCCCCACTCTGACATAATTTCAGACACAGAGAAGCTTCAAAAATAGGACAAAGAATTCCTAGATGCTCTCACACAGGTTCTCGAAGTGGTAGCATTTTGTTACATTTTTTTTTTACCTTAGCCTCCTCTCCCCCCACCTTTCTCTCTTTTTCTCCTTTTCCTCTCTTACTGAACTTACCCCTTCATTTTTTTTCTTTCTTAGTCATTTAGCCAGCCATATTGCTGACATGATTCTCCTTTATCTCTCAATATTTAAGTGTATATTTCCTAAAAGCAAGGAATTCTCTTACATAATTACAGTACAATGATCAAAATCAAGAACTTAACATTGAACCATAACAAAAGAAAATCCAAGGTCACATGCTACATTCAATTCTTTTAATTTGACATTGATATCTTATTTTTTATGGTTATTTTTGAGAGACAGAGACAGAGCACGAACACGGGAGGGGCAAAGAGAGAGACACACAGACAGAATCTGAAGCAGGCTCCAGGCTCAGAGCTGTCAGCACAGAGCCCGATGCAGGGCCTGAACCCACGAACCTTGAGATCATGACCTGAACCAAAGTTGGACGCTTAACCGACTAAGCCACACCCATGCCCCACGATCTTTTGGGGTTATTTCAGATGCCTTCTTGCCTTTCTAACTATTCTTCACTTTTTTGCCATCCTTCATCTAGTCTCCTGCCTTACCTCTCTGTATTTCTCCCTCAGCCAAGGAACTTTGGTTAAATGGGATTCATTCTCTGTTGATAATCACTGTTCCACAACGTCATGCTATTAAAACCTAAAGTTGTATAATCAGTATAAACTCACTTATTTATAAATAAGTATATAAGTATAGAAGATTATATTTATGTATGAGTATATAAATAAACTAAAATAAACCTTTAATAACCTATGGGGAATGGATGTTGTTCAGATATTCTGATCACAGAGGTACCATATATACTACCTTATATGGATGACCTTCTAGACTCAGAATAGTGTGCAAACCAGTTATCTAGATATAGAAGACCTCTTAATTAATCTTTGATTTGGAAGCATTTAAATATTTTGTAACACTTCAGGTCTTGCTTCTGAACGTAAAATCATCTCACCCACAAAACCGAAGAAAGCCGTGGACGGTTTATCCAAGCCTTTGGATTCAGAACTCCTTTATCCCTCGCATGCCATCTCTGTATGTAGGTGTGCTTTGAGTACTTTCTTTCTTTCTGGTCCTTTAAGATGCTTCGGGCTCACTGTGTACATTTCCTGTCGCTGTCCCAGAGCCAGCCATTTCTCAAAGGAGCCTGGTTCCTGAACCCAGGTCTGGGTGTGAGGTGTGGTCCTCACTCCTGGGGTATTGTTCTTTGAAGGTCTCTCAGCTGAAAGCCCGAAGAACGGTGTCAACCTGTGCGCATGCACATATCTCTAAGTATTTTCATGTCACCATCTGTATCTATATGTTAAACATGAGTCCTTCCCGATGTTTTCCAATCCATTCCAACCTGTATCCTCCGAACTCCCTCCCCCTGCATATTTGTCTTTCCACTCCAAGAAAGAGAGCTCCAGCTCCCATCCCGTGCCATCCACTTACTTAATTCTTTAATTTCAGTTTACATGTCTAGCGATATCAGAGTTGTTCCTCTGTTGCCCTCCGGGAAGCAACTTGATATTAACTAGAGCACAGCGCTTTCGTGCGGCTCCTTTCGCCTTAGTCTTACAAAATCTCTTCGTTGCCACAGTTAATTAGATCAGCAGCCTTTCTTCCACTGCCTTCAGGAAGGTTGCTTCATGCATTTGCAATTCAGCTGGATTCTCTGGTCACTGTCTGTGGTCTTTCCAGGAATCCTCTGTTCTCCTAAATGGTTGTTTTGCACTTTGCACACATTCAAGTTCACTCTTTGTGCTTTAAAGTTCTGTGGGCTTCAACAAATGAGTAATGTTGTGTTAAGCCACCATCACATGTTGTGCAGAATAGTTTTACTGCCCTAAAACTCCCCCATGGTTTGCCTGTTCATCCCGCACGCACCCCCTCCCCCCCCGCCCCCCGCCGCCCCCAAGCCCCAGGCAGCTGCTGATCCCTTTAATGTTTCTACTTTTGCTTTTTCCAGGGTATCATGTACTTGGACTTACACAAAATGTACCCTTTGCAGACTGGCTTCTTTCTCTTAGAAGCATGTATTTAAGGTTCCGTCGTGTCTTTTCTTGGCACATCATGTCTTCTTAATTTCTTTTAATCTGGAGCGGCACCTCCACCTTTTGTCTGTCATTGTATTGATTTTTTTTTTTTTTAAAGTCCAGGTCCATGTTTTTATATAGAATGTCCTGCAGTCTAGATTTATATGATTGTCTTCTCGTGATCAGATTCAGGTTAACCATTTTTGGCAGGATTACTGCAGAGGCTGCGGGTGGACAAACTACCACAAGCCATGTCTGACCTGCCACCTGATTCTGTAAACGATGTTTCCCGGAGCCCGGCCATGGCTGTGACAGAGGCTGTACGGCTCAGGAGACCTCAAGTGTTGACTAGCAGGCTTTTACAGAAGCAGTTTGCTGACCTCGGCTGGAGGGGATTCGTTCTCGTTTGCATCACATCAGGAAGCACTTGATGCTGCTTGGTCCTGTTATTGATCGTACAAATTTCGGTCAGTTGGTTAAGGCACCGGCTACCAGATTTCTCTGCTGTAAAAGTGTCTTTCTGGTTACTAAGTAGCATATACGGAGTGGTAAACATTGAGACCATACACCTACCTTGTTTCCAGTAATTTTAGTATCTGTCAGTGATTCTTATCCGAATCGCCGATGTTCCCGAAACTCAGGACTTTTCTTGCTCTGTGATTCTTTCTACAATTTATTATTTCACATTTTGCTATAAAGAAGGAGTCCCTGGTGCCCCTCTTTTTTTTTTTTTAAAGAAAAGAACAAGGTAGTTTTGTAGTAGCAAAGTCACAGCACATGATCACCTTGTCACAAAGGGACTTGTCCTTCAACACTGTGTTGAGGTGAGGCTTTCTAGTCTGTATTACAAAATATACTGTAGATCCTTTAGTTTTTAAAGAAAAAAAAACTTTTTTTAAACATTTATTTATTTTTGAGAGACAGACAGAGCATGAGTAGGGGAGGGGCAGAGAGAGAAGGAGACACAGAATCTGAAGCAGGCTCCAGGCTCTGAGCTGTCAGCACAGAGCCCGATGCAGAGCTTGAACTCATGAACTGTGAAATCATGACCTGAGCTGAAGTCGGCTGCCTAACTGACTGAGCTACCCAGGTGCTCCTAGTTTAATTTTTTTTAAGCATTTATTCTTTTTTTTTTTTTTTTGAGAGAGAGAGAGAGAGGGAAAAGATAGAGCACAAGCAGGGGAGGGGCGGAGAGAGAGGGAGACCCAGAATCTGAAGCAGCCTCCAGGCTCTGAGCTGTCAGCACAGAGCCCGATGCAGGTCTTGAACTCACGAGTCATGAGATCATGACCTGAGCCGAAGTTGAATTCTCAACCAACAGAGCTACCCAGGCGCCTCAGATTTGGCAATTTCTTAGAAGGGTAAACCTACCTCTACCATACGGACCGTCCACTGCACTTCTGAGTGAAGTGCAAGCGTACGTCCCATGTGAATTCTCACAGCCTTATCTGTCATAGTGCAAAATGAGAAATGGCCTCTTTCATGAGGAAGGTTTTTTCTCTTCCTCCTCAGGCAGTTTTACATGTATTTCCACTAAAGCTCTTATGTCACTGTAATGGGTTGGCCATCTGGCCTCTTCCCACCAGTGCAGAAGCTAACTCTTTCTCATTGCTGTAGAGGGGGTGGTATTCTAGTCTTAGCTCTGACACCCTGGGTTAAGGACTTTGGATTTGTCAACTGCCAAGCGAAAGGCTTCGGTCATATTTATTCATGCATGAATATTTTTGAGCATCTGGCATGGCCCAGGCACTCTTCTAGGTCCCGGTAACACAAGTAGGAAAACAGGCTGCGGCCCCTGCCCACATGGATGGAACCAGTGTTTATTAACCTGTTATGTGCCAGACACTATCTTAGGTTTTAAGAGACAGGGCAGAGTGTCTTAATCTGATGGAATTTATGAATTCGTAGCAAAGGGAGACCAAAATAACAGATAGAACCATAATTGTAAGGAATGTCATGATGGGCACAGTCAGAGAGGAGACCCTCGCCAGGAGCTAGGCCTACAGGGAAGGCGTCTCTGTGGGGGTGGGGGTGGGGTGTTGGCACTGGAGCTGACACCTAGGGGAAGAGAGAGGAATTGCTGCCATTTGTCTGTCACCACCTCTTCTCCCAGAAGTCCACACTGAATGTAAGACAGTGATTGGATTTCTTCAAATGTAGGCGTCTCTAAATGCTCGCCGCCGTTTCACGGAGCCCTCCGTTCTCTCCCTCACCCCTTCGGGGCGTTTCATTGTCTAATTCAGGAACTATAAATGGCAATAAATTAAATAGATCTAATTCCCCGTTCTGATGCTTAATTCACACTTCTTTGGCCCAGAATTCATTAAGTGAGACACAGAAAGGAGAAAAGGAAGCCTCTGCTCCCTGGTAAGCCAGAGCCACAGACTTCCAGGGTCTGGAGGTGCATCCTGGCTCCGAAGAGGCTTGCTTGGGCCTGCGGTGTTTTAAAAGTCAGAAAGTTTCACCTAAACCCCCTCCCCCCAGACTTTTTGTTTGTTTGTTTGTTTTAACGTTTTCATTTACATCTTTAGACCAATGATTAGAATGAGTGGCAGCCGGCCCTTTAACGGGGTACGTGCTCCCAGATCTCACAGACCCTCCGTTTCACCTGCCTCCTCACTCATGTCATCTGGCTGGCCCCGGAGAATGTGTTTGGCTAAGAATCATGTTAGGTTTTTGTTTTGTGTTTAAACACCTGTGCCTGGGACCAGCCCACGGAGTCTGGACCCCACTGGTGCTGGGCTGGGTGGTGCTAATGTGTCGCGGGTGAGCCTCCCCCACATAAGCCGGCTTTGAAGGTACCTTTGTTACTGGAGCGCCACGGACCACATGCTCTTCAGAGTGGGGACTTGTCTTGGTGACTTCTTATTTACCTTATTTACCTCGTCCCTGGAACACAGTTAAAGTAGGCACTCTAAATGCTTGTGACATGAATGAATAAATTATATTTTAATTTTTGTACCTGTGCGACCTCTAAAAGGTAAACATAGCTGGGAAAAACATATTTCTTAATTCAGATGTGTGGGGTTTTGAAAACTTTTTTTTTTTTTTTTTACTAGATAGCACATTCATGTAGTTTTAAGGTCAAAATGTAAAAGGAAACACAGTGACAAGTCTTCTTCCTACTGCTTTTCTCTGATCGGTGCACCATGCGCTTCCCCACTCCATGAAAGCATAAGCAAATACAAGCATATATTCTGTTTTTAAAATGTAATATATTGTCGGATTGGCTAACGTACAGCGTGTGCAGTGAGCTCTTGGTTTTGGACATAGATTCCCATGATTCATCGCTTCCATACAGCACCCAGTGCTTGTCTCAACAAGTGCCTTCCTCCATGCCCATCACCCATTTTCCACACTCCCCCACTGCCCATCCACCCCTAGTTTGTTCTCTGTATTTAAAAGTCTCTTATGGTTAGCCTCCCTCCCTCTCTGTTCGTAACTATCTTTCCTCCTTCCCTTATGTTAAATTTCTCAAATTCCACATATGAGTGAAAGCATATGATATCTGTCTTTCTCTGACTGACATATTTCACTCAGCATAACACCCTCCAGTACTATCCACGTTGCTGCAAATGGCAGGATTTCATTCTTTCTCACTGCCAAGTAGTATTCCGTTGTATATATAAACCACATCTTCTTTATCCATTCGTCAGGTGATGGACATTTAGGCTCTTTCCATAATTTGGTTATTGTTGAAAGTGCTGCTATGAACATTGGGGTACATGTGCCCCTATGCATCAGCACTCCTGTATCCCTTGGGTAAATTCCTAGCAGTGCTATTGCTGGGTCATAGGGGAGTTCTATTGTTAGTTTCCTGAGGAACCTCCACACTGTTTTCCAGAGGGGCTGTACCAGTTTACATTCCCACCAACAGTGCAAGAGGGTTCTCATTTGTCCACATCCTCACTAGCATCTGTTATTTCCTGAGTAGTTAATTTTAGCCACTCTGACCAGCATGAGGTGGTATCTCAGTGTGGCTTTGATTTGTATTTCCCTGATGATGAGTGACACTGAGTATCTTTTCATGTGTCTGTTGGCCATCTGGATGTCTTCTTTGGAAAAGTGTCTATTCATGTCTTCTGCCCATTTCTTCACTAGATTATTTGTTTTTCAGGTGTTGATTTTGGTAAGTCCTTTATAGATTTTGGATACTAACCCTTTATCCGATATGTCATTTGCAAATATCTTTCCCATTCTGTCGGTTGCCTTTTGGTTTTGTTGATTGTTTCCTCTGCTGTGCAGAAGCTTTTTATCTTGATGAGGTTTCAATAGTTCAATTTTGCTTTTAATGCCCTTGCGTTTGGAGACGTGTCAAGCAAGAAATTGCTACGGCTGAGGTCAAAGAGGTTGTTGCCTGTTTTCTCCTCTAGCATTTTGATGGTTTCATGTCTCACATTTAGGTCTTTCATCTATTTTGAGTTTATTGTGGATGGTGTAAGAAAGTGGTCCAGTTTCATTCTTCTGCGTGTTGCTGTCCAGTTCTCCCAACACCATTTGCTGAAGAGACTGTCTTTTTTCCATTGGATACTCTTTCATGCTTTCTCAGAGATTGGTTGGCTGTACATTTGTGGGTCCCATTCTGGGTTCTCTATTCCATTGGTCTTTGTGTCTGCTTTTGTGCCAATACCGTACTGTCTTGATGATTACAGCTTTGTAGTAGAGGCTAAAGTCTGGGATTGTGATGCCTCCTGATTTGGTTTTCTTTTTCAGCTTTACTTTGGCTATTTGGGGTCTTTTGTGGTTCCATACAAATTTTAAGATTGTTACACACATGTATTCTTATTTCCCCCCCATTTTACTTAAAGGGTGGCTTTCTTTAAAAATAATGGTTGGCCTTATGCTTTCTTTGCTTTTAACATATCTTGAAGATCTTATCATATTAGTAGAGCACTTCTTTTGCCTCTTTTTATTTTTACAATTGAAAAACTATGTTTCGTTGTTTGGGCATATTATAATTTATTTGATAAGTCCCCCCACTGGAGGATGCTTGGATTTTTTTAAGCATTGGTATTGCAAACAGTGCTACAGGTAGCAACAGTGTATGTACGTTGTATTAAACACATGTGCAAGAGTGCAAAGTGTATCTCGGTGATCAGTTTTCCAAGTGGAATTGCTAGATCATAGGGCATGTGCATATGTAATTTTGATATAATTTAATTGCCCTCTGTAGGTGTTGGTTGTGGCGTCAGTTGTTATTAATGAAAACTAATGCCGGTATTTGAAATGCTCTTTTAAAAAGAATATTTAGTTTGCTTTCATTTTGCTTTCTTTGCTGAGGTAGAGTAGTTATATTGTAGGTTATCTGAATTTTGGTAAGAGTAGTAAGACTCTTCTAGATCATTGGTTTCCCCTACTGGTCAAAGACCCTCAAGGAATTCTCAGATTCATATGCTAAACTAACATCAAATATATAGAAAATACTACCTGGCACATGAATGCTGTATATTTCAAATGTGCATAGATGCTGCTGAATTTCATAAAATGCCAGTTCATTTAATAATGTTGCTGAATTCTTAGTTTAGCTAATAACAGCTCTACATGTTCTTAGTGGTTCCATTGTTTAAGATGATCTTTGGACTTTGATATCATGTTAGCATCATTTTGTGTTCTATCGAATTTTTCAAAGTAGCTTAGTCTGGAGGTCTAGAAGAACAGAGCAAAAGATTATAATATGCAACGAGTATCTATTTGAATATAATAAAAGTAATATTTCTCTTATAGATATTCCTTTGAGGACCAGCCTGCCACCACCATTCAGAAATTATAAATATGGTAACTAATTTTCTTATTCTTTAAAAGCGTGTATTGGGGCGCCTGGGTGGCTTAGTCGGTTAAGCGTCCGACTTTCGCTTGGGTCATGATCTCACGGTTCGTGGGTTCGAGCCCCGCGTCGGGCTCTGTGCTGACTGCCGGCTCGGAGCCTGGAGCCTGTTTCAGTCTGTGACTCCCTCTCTCTCTGACCCTCCCCTGCTCACGCTGTCTCTCTCTCTCTGTCTCTCCTAGAAGTGAATAAAACATTAAAAAAAAAAAAAAACGTAGTTAAAATTTCCTTTTAAAAAAAAAAAAAATAAAAAATAAAAGCGTGTATTAATATAATTTCATGTTAATTTTATGTTGATAGCAATTCGAATTTGGCTTTTAAAAATTAGTTTATCTATAAATAAAAACCAATATGGAAGTTTATTTAGAAAGCTAGAAATCCTGGTGTATCGTTAAAGTAAATTGTAATCGTGGATGAAAATGGCCTCTTTATGAGGAATAAATAGCATATTTGGCGAACTATGTCTAAAATGAATTTCTTTGTAAAGTAATCAGAAAAGAAAAATGATTAAAGACTGGGAATTAAAAGAAGAGATTAAACATTTTAAATGCCAGTAACTTGAGCATATTATATAGCAATTTTGTATGTTACAGTGTTGATTTTAAAATGTAGTAATGAGGCAGGAAGTTGAGTTTCATTATTTGGTAAAAAAGTGGTACAGTTATTAACCTTCAGTATAGTGACACTCACCAAACTTTGAGTTTGAGACTTCACTTGAAAATTATGACGCACCTAATAAATATTTCTGTTAATTGGTACAGACATTTTTTCAAGTATAAATTTTTTATTACCTTAGATCATTATTTTTGCAGTGGCTTTTAATTCTGTTCCCATTTGGTAGAGCAACTTATGACCTAAAATACTTTGAAATCACAATCTTCACCGTGTATCTGCATTTTAATATCCATATACTAATTGTGAGGTCATAAGGGGTAGTCAAGCAGAAGTTGAAGGCACTGAGTGGAAGTACTTTGATTTATTGGGCTTAAAGAATTTACATACTAAATATTGAATAAGAGAAAGGAATAAAAAGCATGGTTAAGTAAATATGAAACTTCTCAATTCTGGCTTTCATGGCTTTCCGAGTATAATGACTTGCAGTATAACCTTAAACTTGAATCAACCTACAAATGCCATTTCCTTTTTTGCATGGTGTGTGTGTGTGAGCGCGCATGCACGATGTACACGCATGTGCATGCATATAGTGCATGCATATACTCAAACTTGTGTTCCTTGTAAGTTATTTTGAAAGATAAGTTTCAGATACTGGCATTAGAATATCTGACTGTTAATCATCATGGTGGTAGATAATGTACCTTTTCTATTTTTCCACCTTGTTTTCAAAAATTTTTTAATGTTTATTTATTTTTGAGAGAGAGACAGAGAGTGAGCAGGGGAGGGACAGAGAGAGAGGGAGACACAGAATCTGAAGCAGGCTGTCAGCACAGAGCCTGACGTGGGGCTGGAACCCATGAACCATGAGATCATGACCTGAGCTGAAGTCAGATGCTCAACCGACTGAGCCACCCAGGCGCCCCTATTTTTCCACCTTTTTAACACCGCTTTGCTCTAGGTTTTGTGTGCTCTTTAGGTGAATTGGCCGAAGAAGTGAATACATTTATCTGTGAAATTAGAAATGAGAGAACTAGGGTTTTGATAGCCTTCCAGTGACTTAGTAACTCAGCCTGGGTTTGGCTTTGTAACCGTCTTCTGCTTTGTGTCCACTAAGAAAAGCCAAATGTTACTTTCTCACCTGTCACTGCCCTTCAGTATTACTACATGCGCTGGGGGAGATAAAACCCATTGGGTGTTGGGGAGTGGAAAGGGTGCAGAGTCAGATTTCAGTCTTTGTGCCCTTGGGCAAAGGGCTGGCTCCCTCGGCCAGGCCACCAAGAGTCTGCGCTTTCTCAGGGCCCCTCCTCCCATTTAATTGGCATCTACATCTATTATTGATTTATCCTGACCAGACTGTGTGTTCTAAAGCATATCCGATGCTGTCTTATTTTTAAATCCTTATCATCTAGACACTCTGCATGTGTGTAGTAAATATTGGTGGCTGGGCAGTGTGCAGCTTCTAAGAATGTTCGTTTCGTAAGGCTGTGTGAGATTAAACAAAGCTTGTGTGAACACATTGAATACCCCACAAAATTTTTATTTTCATGAGGTTACATTCCTCAAGGAATTTGCATTAAGGGCACAATACCCATAGGTGTTGCTACTGTTAATAATGCAGATTTATTTTGGCCGGGAGCAGGGGTGGGGACGGGGACGGGTAGGTGCCTGGGTGGCTCAGTCGGTTAAGTGTTCAGCTTCAGCTCAGGTCATGATCTCATGGTTCATGAGTTCAAGCCCCGTGTTGGGCTCTGTGCTGACAGCTTAGAGCCTGGAGCCTGCTTCAGATTCTGCGTATGCCACTCTTTCTTTCTGTCTCTCCCCTGCTTAGGCTCTGTCTCTGTCTCTCTCAAAAAAAAAAAAATATTTTAAAAATTATGCAGATTTTTTAAAAAAGTGAGAACAAGTAAAAAATGTTTAACAAGAAAGGGGCATTATTATTAGTACAGTATTTTTTGCTAGCTTGTTGTTTCTTACCATGTCTTACCCGTTTCTGTTGAAGGGGAAAATCTGAAAATTTCTGTTCAAATTATTCTTCTGCTAAAAAAAAATGTAGCCCTCTTATTGTGGGTTTGCAGAACCCATTAGAGCAAAAATATTTCTAATTTAAAGGTTCATTAGGAAAATATATAGAACATAATTAATATTTGGTAAGGCCAAACTACAGTTTTGCATATTGATTGTAACAGACTTAAAGCAAGATCCTTTAAAAAAAATTTTTTTTAGTGTTTATTTATTTACTTTTGAGATACAGAACACGCGTGTGTGCACATAAGCGAGGGAGGGACAGAGAGAGGAAGGGAGGCACAGAATCCGAAACAGGCTCCGGGCTCCGAGCTGTCACCACAGAGCCTGACTTGGAGCTCAAACTCATGAACCATGAGATCATGACCTGAGACGAAGTCAAGTCAGATACTTAAACGACCGAATCCTAAGCAGGATCCTTTTATTTAAAATCTGTTACTGGCTTTTCTATCTTGTCTCTAATTATAAACCAGTATCTGTCTATAGTGAGAAAAAGAGAAAGGGATACTCAGAATAATAGGTAATCCAAAAACCAATTTGTTTATTTTCTTGTGTACCTTATAAGCTTAATTTTAGCAATTGTGGTATATTTACATTCCTAATACGCATTTTTCACTTAGATTTATTTTTAGTTCTTAACAATACATAGAGTCCTAGGATTAAGCTGACCTTGTATTAAAAATCACAATTGATCATTGAAAGCTGACTATTTAAAATAATGGGTAACTCAGAGTGCTAGTTCTTAACTGGACAGCTGCCCTTTTCTTTTGTGTTATTAGAATAGAGTTAAATCAAGGCCTTTTTTTTCTTTTTTTAAAGTAGATCCTTTGGTTTCACTATTGGAATTCCTTATGGAATCAAACCGCATGATTGATAGAAACGAATTTTAGTTTAAGAGTTTATTCAGATATAATAATACATGTAATCAAAGTACATTTATTAAATGGTTAAATAAAACCAAGTGAAGAGCTGGAAACTTTGTGACTTGAAACCTGTTGAATGCTGAGCCTGTTTATAATTAAGAGGCCATGGTTACTCAGTCAGAATTTACCTGATGTGGAGAAATTACTTACTGGAAAAGCACAGGGCAGCCTGACTTCAAGATAAACAAATTGAAGAGTGAAGGAGGATTGAATAAAGCAGATTAGATGGTGTGAGCCTGCACATCATTTGAAAACCAGGATACTGATATTGTTTGGGCATTAGCAGCCTTGGCCAGTTTACCAGTGAACCTGTATTCTGAGAGCAGTGACAACATGTCAGGGTGACCATTTGACCTCTTGTCACTTGTCTGTGTTCTGAGAGCCTGGTAGATTTTTTTGAACTGCTTATGTTAACGTCTGACACTTTTTACATTATTTGCTCATTGTAGCATTTTACAAGTCCCCCCCCCCCCAAAAAAAAAACCAAACAAACAGGACTGAGTGACATGATTCATCAGTCTTCTATTGTATGGGGAGATGTGCCAAGCTGACTGCAGGTTACGGCATATACATGTGTGTGTGCTGAAGACCAGGGCTTTCACAGATCTGTATGTAGCAATGACTTTTCATGATATATAGGAGTTCTTTTTCTTTTACTGTGCTGGAGTTTTAAGTGAACTGGTCATCAGGCAAGGACTTAAGTTTCTCAGTTTCATAGCCGTATCTTCCCATTCCACACGGTTAAAATGAAGTTGTAGAATGATCTTTGTGAAAAGACTTCCTTTTTTCTTTCAGATAAACTAAAGATTGTTCACCAAGCACATAAATCAAAGGTACGTTTCATATGTACAGCGTCTGACACACAGAAAGTAGTCACTGTCAGCCATCACCATGAATGAGCAAATGAACACATGTACTTCTTTTATTTTATTTTATTTTTTAATTTTTTTTTTTTTTTTAATTTTCAAGAGAGAGAGAGACAGTGTGTGACTGGGGGAGGGACAGAGAGAGACACAAAATCCGAAGCAGGCTCCAGGCTATCAGCACAGAGCCCGATGTGGGGTTCGAACTCACGAGCTGTGAGATCATGACCTGAGCCGCAGTTCGCCACCCAACCGACTAAGCCACCCAGGCGCCCCGATCTTTGTTATACAAACTACTTAAGAATGAGGGACTGTAATTTGTTCTTTGTATCTCTAATACATAGCACAATGCCTCATTTGTAGGAGTGTTTTTACAACAATTTTAAAAAATTGTTATGTTTATTTATTTTTGAGAGCAAGAAAGAGCATGAGTTGAAGAGAGGCAGAAAGAGAGGGAGACGCAGAGTCCAAAGCAGGCTCCAGGCTCTGAGCTGTCAGCACAGAGCCCAATGAGGGGCTCGAACTCACAGACTGCAAGATTACGACCTGAGCCAAAGTCAGATGCTTAACCGACTAAGCCACCAAGGTGCCCCATCAATTTTTGAATTAAGTATCTGTTTTTGAATCGCCTAATTTCATTGTCTTCTCTAGTCATAGATGCCTACTATAAACTCAGTCAGCTTTCAAATAAACGTCTCCCAGAGATTACAAAGAAAATAACATCAGGGTATGGCTATCAATGGTGAATTAGTAAGTTCAAGAAACATTTTTGTTCTCGTAGCTTAAAACAAAACACATTTATTCTCGTATAGCCTTGGAGACCAGAAGTCCAAAATTAGTTTCACTGGGCTAAAATCAAGGTGCTGGCAGCCCTGGTTCTTTCCAATAACTTTATTTTTTTATCCCAAGGATTGTACGTACAAATTTGACAGTGTCCCTTGTCAGATGCTTTAAAATTCAATGTCACGCATGTCTGGGACTGTGGTGTGGAATCTGCACTTTGTGTGGGTGCTAGAATGTCCCTCCACTGTGGCCACAGGCTTCATTCTTTTACTGGGACAGGAGGGTTTACAAGCTTGTCTCTAAAACGTGGAGAATAGGAAGCTTGGGCTTGTTGTAGAGGAGAAAAGTGTGTGTGTGTGTGTATATAAAGTTATAAGGAACAACATGCTCTTTGAAAAGGCTGTAAACTAGAGTGCTGTCATTCTCCAGTGTTGCATTTTTACATTGTTGGACTTGCTCAAAATGCTCATATTTTCTAAATGAAGACCTGATTCGTAATATTCAAATATTCAATATTAGGACATTTAAACAAATCAGGAATTTTCCTCTTGTAGTTGGAAATCTATTAGAATTGTTTCTTGTATTAAATTTTTTTTTAAGTTTATTTGGAGAGACCAAGGGAGCAGAGCAGGGGCAGAGAGAGCGGGAGAGAGAGAAACCTACGCAGGCTTCCTAGTGCAGAAACGGACATGGGGCTCGAACTCATGAACCGTGAGATCATGACCTGAGCCAAAACCAAGAGTCAGATGCTTAACCAACTGGGCCATCCAGGTGCCCCTGTTTCTTATATTTAAAACATGCGATCCAACTTGGCATGTTAGAGTTACATAGTTGGGGCTTATCTGTCCAGTTGAACAATGTATTTATTTAAAGAAATAAAGTTACTTTTGAATGTTTCTGGAATCTGGCTTTATATATTTTCATCCAAGCCATAACCATTCTAGTTAAGGACATACTATATTCCTCGGGGATGATTCTTCCAGGTTTCCTCTTCAGCTTTAATAACCAGGGCGGCTAATACATTTTTACAGACATGGTTTTAAAACTGCAGAAACACTTTACCCCAAAGCCCTCATTTGTGCTTTATCCAGCTTCCAGTCATTTTTCTCATTTCCCCATCTGCATTCTGTTTTCTGTTTTCTATTCCTCATCTGTGGGGCTTATAAGCATCCCTGGACCAGGGACCCACCCATCAGTTTTCCAACAACCCAGCAACCCAGCTGCAATTTTAGTCTCCTTCCTCAGCCAAAGGAAGAGTCTTCCAACTCTCTTAATGAACTTGATCACAAAAGGCGTTTTCCCCAATTTTCTACTTTTAGAGACTTCTTGATTACCAGGTATCTGCAGAAATTTCTTCCCTTTATTACAATAAAACTGTCTGGATACCTTCCTGTGAGAGCTTCCTGTTTGGAGTATAAGCTCAGTTTTTGCTGAATGAATGAATGAATGAATGTGCAGTGTAAATAATTACCATAATATGATTTATGGTTATTAAGAAAATGTACTTTTGTGTGTATTATGGGGCTGTTTGTAAATTCAGAATAATTCCTATTGAAAAGTTTTAAAATAAAAACTTTAGGGGCACCTGGGAGCTCAGTCAATTAAGTATCCAACTTCAGCTCAGGTCATGATCTTGCAGTTTGTGGGTTCAAAGCCCTGCGTTGGGCTCTGTGCTGACAGCTCAGAGCCTGGAGCCTGCTTTGGATTCTGTGTCTCTCTCCTCTGCCCCTCCCCTGCTTGTGCTCAAATAAATTCAAAAATAAATAAACATTAAAATTTTTTTAAATAAAAACTCTAATTTCTTCTGCTTTAAGAGTTTGGAAATCAGATAGCTACTGTTTTTAAAAGTTTAGGAGAGGAAGAAGTCATACCCTGAAAGAAATTTTATAAGAAATGTGCAAGATATTTGAGAAGAAAACTTCAAAATGCTAGTGAGGGTTATTCAGTTGTCCAGATCCACTGAACTGAACTCCCCTGAAGATCTTTGCATTTTATTTATGTGAAATTCTACCTCAATTTAACAAAAAAATAGACAAGCCAAAAGGGATCCAACATAAGACTTAAATGGAAATGCTTAGGGTATTTGGGTGGGAAGACGCACCAGCTTGAAGATCTCTCTTTTCTCTTCGTTAAATGTGTAAATTTAATGCCACCCCAATAAAATACAGTGGCAGTTGTGTATATGTATATGAATTAAAGCTGATTATCATACTAATATGCAAAAAGTAAATAAGAATAGTTAGGAAAAAGAAGAGAAAGAAGAGTGGCCGACCCTGATATATATTAGCCGTATGATTAAAGTAATTAAAACAGTGTGGTAACTGTCACATGAAATGTTAGTTCAACGGCACAGAGTTAAAAGTCCAGAAATAGACCCAAATATGTATAAGAATTTAGGTATAGTCAGGGGCGCCTGGGTGGCTTAGTCGGTTGAGCGTCCGACTTTCGCTCAGGTCATGATCTCGCGGTTCGTGGGTTCGAGCCCCGCGTCGGGCTCTGTGCTGACTGCCAGCTCAGAGCCTGGAGCCTGTTTCCGTCTGTGACTCCCTCTCTCTCTGACCCTCCCCTGTTCACGCTCTCTCTCTCTCTCTCTCCTAGAAATAAATAAAACATTAAAAAAATTAAAAAAAATTTAGGTATAGTCAATATGATCTTTCAAAGCTATTGGGAAAATATGGAAGGTTCAGGAAATATTACTGGGACAACTGGGGAGACATCCAGAAAATGGTTAAATTGAATTCATATTCTTTTCCTTATGCCGAAGTAAATATCCATTGGCTTCCTGGCATAAGTGTGACAGTAGAGCCCACCGGTGAGAACGGAGATGGAGCAGATTGAACGTGTGTAAATCAGTTGTTTGGCCGGGGGATGGGTACATGGAAGGTTTGGGATGCTGTTCTGTATACACTGTATGTTTAAGGTTCTCCATAAAGAAAAGTCTAAAACAATGAAATTGATGAACACATTTAAAGAAAACATGAAATTTTAGAAGAAATCTTAGAATGAAGGTCTTTCTGAGTAAGGTACAGGAAACCCAGAAACTGTAAGGAAAATGGCTAATTTTACTTCATGTATTTATTCAACAGGCATTCAACACCTTTTACTAGGAAAAAAAACATTATAAGAAAAATCAAGGAGGGACACCTGGGTGTCTCAGTCAGTTGGACGTCCGACTTCAGCTCAGGTCATGATCTCACGGCTTGTGAGTTCAAGCCCTGCGTCGGGCTCTGTGGTGCCAGCTCAGAGCCTAGAGCCTGCTTCAGATTCTGTGTCTCCCCCTCTCTCTGCCCCTCCCCCACTAATGCTCTTTCTCTCTCCGTCTTTCAAAAATGAATACACGTTAAAAAAAAAATTAAAAGAAAAGAAAAATCAAGGAAGGAAGGAAAATTAGAGCAAATTTTCTAACATACTACAGACAAGGCCTAATTTTCTTAATATATATATCATATATATATTATATATATATATGATATATATCATATATATAATATATATATAAAACATTACAATTCCATTAAAAATTATCATTTGAGAGGTATCTGGCTGGCTTACCCAGAAGAGCATGTAACTCTTGATCTTGGGGTTGTGAGTTCAAGTCCCACATTGGGTAGAGAGATTACTTAAAAATAAAGTGTTTTTTAAAAAAATTATCCTTCGAGTTCATGAAAGAAACAAATATTTATGACTTTACTCAAAGTAAATACAAATTAAGACTGCACGTAAGCTTCATCAGTTAGGTTGCCAAAGATCAGACGGTGTTGATAACAGAGGGGGTGTGGGAAACAGGTACTTTCTGCGATTGGTCGTGTTCCAAGGTTGAATGGTTTTAAGCTATATTTTAAGAGAACAAAGCAAAGTGTTAGCATATAGCATACAGTATGCTGTTATTTGTTTGACAAAGTTTGCACGCGCTTTTCTGCCTGCATGAACATACACAGAGGCAGTCTCTGGAAGGATATACCAGAATTAGCAGAAGTTATTTGGAGGAGAACTAGGCACCTGGTAGATCGGGATTGGAAGGAGACGCACTTGACACTCCATCCATATGTACTTGGAGAATTTTGTATTGTGAGTATGCATTACCTATTCTAAAATGATTTTTTAAAATAACACCTCTCCCTCCCTCCATTTAATCTCTGTGCTCTGGAGGTCAAGCCCCTTGCTCTCTAGTAGGTAAAGTTGTGAACTGTGGAGCATGGCTTCTGGGCCTTCTCTTCTGGCTGCTGGAGTGACCTCTCTGTTGACTCTCCTTCTTAACCATATTCTAGAAATAGATTGTGTTGCTAAGCAGCTTCATTCTGGTTGACAAGTGGACTGTGCCTTCAACTCTGTGTGCTTTTTGGGGGCAGATATCAATTCAAAGTCTTCTCCTATAGTTATAATATTTAACTGGATTTGTAAAAAAAATCATTGGAGGACAGACTCATCCACTGCCACCTGAAACCTCATCGTGAAAGGTTACAGTTAATATGACATGGGATCAAGTTACCATGACTTGGGAGCACATGTTTACTAGGTAGGACAAGGTTTTTAGATACGTGGAGGTGAGCTTGTTTCTTTCTGAAGTCAAGATGGTCAGAGCTCAGGCTTCAGTTCCAGGTCCTCTGGGTCTGTTTCTTAACCTCTCTGTCTCCTGGAATACTGTGAGGATGAGATGATGATGATGATGATGGTGGTGGTGATGAGGATGGTGATGGTGGTGGTGGTAATGATGATGAGGATGAGGATGATGGTAGTGGTAGTGGTGGTGGTGGTGGTGATGAGGATGGTGGTAGTGGTGGTGGTGGTGGTGGTGGTGGTGATGAGGATGATGGTGGTGGTGGTGGTGGTGGTGGTGGTGGTGGTGATGATGATGGTGATGGTGAATATGGTGGTGGTGATGATGAGGATTATGGTGGTGGTGGTGGTGATGGTGGTGGTGGTGGTGGTGATGGTGGTGGTGATGAAGATGAGGATGATGGTGGTGGTGGTGATGAGATGATGATGATGATGGCGATGATGGGGATGGTGATTATGGTGGTGATGAGGATGATGATGGTGGTGGTGATGGTGCTGTTGGTGATGAGGATGGTACTGGTAGTGATGATGAGGATGGTGGTGATGATGATGAGGATGATGGTGATGAGGATGATGGTGGTTGTGGTGATGGTGGTGGTGGTGGTGGTGGAGATGATGAGGATGGTGGTGGTGGTGATGGTGGAATACTGTGATTCCTGGAATACTGTGAGGATGAGGTGACGATGACGATAATGACGACAGCAACAACAGAATAGCAGCAGCGAACATGGAGAGTCTTTGCTCTGTGACGGACACCGTATTGATGGTTTTATCTCATGTCATCCTCACCTCAGGGCAAAAGAGAAGATTCATTCCTCTTCCCTTTTCTATAAAGGGGGGAACTAAGTCTCAGAGAGGCTGTGGAGTCTGTTGAGAGCACACAGCAGGGCATTGGTGGAGACCACTTTTTAATCCGGACTCGGCACCAAAGCCCTGTGCTCCCCTAGCCCCTGTGGAGCGAGCGAACGTAATGGGTGCTCCCATCTGTGTGCTTCTGCCCTGACAGTGATGGGAGCGGCATGTGACTTCGCTTATTGCCGTGACCCAGAGTAACAATCCTGTGTCTTCGACAAGTCTGACCAAATACAAAGAAGCACCTAGAAGTACTGATATGATGCAGGTTTTCTTTCTTTCCAGACGAATGAGCTCGTGTTGAGTCTGGAAGATGACGACAGACTCCTGCTGAAGGAAGACAGCACGCTGCGAGCCGCTGGGATTGGTGAGCGAGGGGGGCCCTGCGGTGCTGGAGGGGCGCTCACTTACCCAGCCTCTCTGCTGACGCCCGGGCTGATGATGTTTGGATAACTCAGCGCAAAGCAAATGCTACCCTCGCTGCTCTTTACACTCCCTGATAATTATTCAGAGGAGGACGAGGGTGATGTACATTCAGATCATTTGACTGAGGGCAGGAGATAGCTGCTCTCCAAATGTGCAGAATGCAAATAGTTCTTCTCGGCAGGTATGCTCAGAATTCTGCCGAGAGTTATTTTAAGTGATTGACAGGTTATTACTCACTTAATAACCTACTTATTCTTATCAGCATCATTTGAACTGATGGCTCGAGAGAAACGGACCTGGTAGAACTAATGTGGAATAATGAAGTAAGATGTTGTTTGTATAAGGTGCAGCGCAGTTTCTTATAGGCTTCCGGATCACTCTGGGCCTGCCGAGCCGTGGAATTTCAAGCAGGAGCCTGGTGTGTGCGGTTGGAAAGGGGCCCCACTTGGCTCTTCAACCTACAATAGGCATGCAGTTGTTTTAAAGAAATACCGTGTGACATGTTTTGTGACCATTAGATGTCACTGTAATTCTGTGTATATACACCTAAGGATTATCTGGCCGTAGGAGTGAAGATTTTCAGAGTGTAAGCAGTTAAAGGACTCTGCCTCTGACATACCTCTGTGGTCAGTGGAAATAGCACCGATCACACTTCCTTGATAATTATTTGCACGTATTGGGTAAGGGGTACTCTAAGTGAGGTCCCTGTTAGGAAGCTTTATGTTTTTTTGGACAGGTGTTCTCTTGAATCATTTTAGTGACATATGTCAGGAATTCAGTTTGAATGAGCTGTGTGGTTGAGGCAAGTTCCTGACATCGCTTCTAATTTAAATAAGATTTTGAATAACATGTTACAAAATCTTAGACTGACTTTCCTTGTTTGTTGACACTATTACTAGATTAAGTGTTTTTTCATATTCTAAATAGGGACGATTGCTATTGTTTGAAGACACCGTTTTTATTTTGGCATTTATTTCTTCAAATGCTATTAAATTACCACAGCAAGTGGCACTGGTGTTATTGACTCACGCAGCACCTAGAAGTTAGCCCTGCTTGTTGGTAAAGCATCAAGCTGCAATTATTATAACAGACCGGTGTGATATTGATGTACGGATTGAAAGCTTCGTGGAAAAGATCAGAAATAAACTAAAAAAAAAAGTAAGAGTTTGCCACATGATAGAGTTTTGACATCTCAAAAAAGTGGAGAAAGAGTGGATTCGTTGGAAAATGATGTCAAGCCCATTGCCAAAGCATTTGGGAAGATAAAATTTAAATCCTTATATCAGCCTTTATTCCAAACTAAATTGTAGATTGATTAAATGTCTCAATGTGAAAACAAAATTTTTTTAAAAATGTAGCTTAGTAACTGTATAATCTCGGGGAGAAGAGCTCTCTCCAAGCATGACTTTGAAGGAAGAGGGATAAAGCTGGGAGAAATGATAGATTTGACCAGGTAAAAACTAAAAATTGTAAACAGAGTTAAAGCAGAAACACCGAACTGTGAAAAACTACTTTGTATATAACAAAAAAGTTATTAGTCTGAATGGATCAAAAGCTCTTATAATTAGCTTGAAAAAGATAAGTCCTACTGATGGAAGGAATGGCTAACATAAAAATAGTTCTGCCTTATTAGTCCTGAGAGAAATACACATGAGGATAGATGCTCTTTTATGTAGTAAATACCAGTCTAGTGGTTAAGAATTAGACCCTGAAGCCAGAGTGCTTGGATTTATGACCTGATCTGCCGCTTACTGACTGGGTGACCTTGGACAAGTACTAATTTATTATTTTTTACTTTTTTTAAACATTAAAAAACATGTTGTTTATTTTTGAGAGAGAGAGAGACAGAGCATGAGCAGGGGAGGGCTAGAGAGAGAGGGAGACACAGAATCCAAAACAGGCTCCAGGCTCTGAGCTGTCAGCACAGAGTCCGACGCGGCGCTCGAACCCATGAACCGTGAGATCATGACCTGAGCCGAGGTCGTAAGCTCAACCGACTGAGCCACCCAGGCCCCCTGACAAGTAGTAGTTTCAAGACTAGCAGGCCTGAAGAAAAGTGGTAGTATCTCAGAGAAGGTTGGGAAGTGGATACTCTTTTGTACTACTGTTGGCAATGTCTATTACCTCTAACTTCCTGTAGGTCAATTTGGCCAGTAAGACTTTCTCACTCCTACACTTTGTCCTGTATCTGTTACCAGGCCAGCGGGAGTATGCTTCCTCAAACTCTGTGACTCCCTGGAAGTTGAGATGTGCCTTTAAAGGGGTGGTGGGGTTAAAAAATATATATATATATTTTTTATATAAATATTTTATATAAAATATATATATTTATATAAATAAAAATTTATATAAATGTATATACATATACATATATATATATATATATATATATATATATATATATATATAGCTCGGTTGGTTAAGTGTCCAACTTTGGCTCAGGTCATGATCTCGCAGTTCATGGGTTCGAGCCCCACATCGAGCCCTGTGCGGACAGCTCAGAGCCTGGAGCCTGCTTCTGATTTTGTGTCTCCCTCTCGCTCTGCCCCTCCCTTGCTCAAGTATGCTCTCTCTCTCTCTCTCTCTCTCTCTCTCACTCTCTCAAAAATAAATAAGCAAATAATAAAAATTTTTAAAAATTCAGACTCATGTAATGAACACCTGTGAAGGTCAGCATCCAGTCCATCTTTTTGTCATTCTTGTTTTAAGGCCATAGGCCTTTGAGGAGAACCGGATCCTCTTCACAGGCTCCAGGGTGGTACAAGAACCTCGCAAACCCACAGCCCTGCTCGGGGGTGAAGCCAGGCCCAGCCTGCCGTGGCTTTCCTGTCCCCAGGGGCCCTCTGTGTTGCCTGGGGCCGTGTAGCTGTACCCCTTGGGGAAGGAGGTGACGACCCTGGAGAGCAACCAAAAATTCCAAGTGGAAGTGAAGTTGTAAAAACGACACCTGAAGTATGTGACTCCTCTAGGGAATTTCCCCTCCCTCGGTGCCATGTCTGGTTAGGTTTTCAAAACGTTTCAGAGAAAACTTCGAAGTCATCACCCTCGCTTTTTACCACTTGATCTCTCTCTAGAACTGTCACTTTGCCATCACAGCCGGTTGCCATGGGAATAGTGCCAATGTAACAAATCTATCATTATGACTTTTCTGCAGAATTCATGAAAGGGAACGAAGGACTGTGAAGGGAGGAAATTAGGGGAACAAACTTATTTGAAGATCCCTTTTCTCACAGAGAAATTCTCCAGCTTCTGCTCTGGCTTTTCATCTGCATTGCAGACCCCGATTGTATATTCCGCGCCTGACGTCAGGGCCAAGTTTCGCTTGCGGACTCAGAGCTAAAAAGACAGGAGCCAAAAGATTTGCTTTTTGGAAGGAAGAAGAAAGCTTTCCTTAGAACGGTTATTTGTAACTTAACGATTGCTACCTTGTTATTAATGGTTGTGGTTTTTATGCATTGGTTCCCCTATGTGGTAAATTTGCACGTGAGTATTCTGGGAGTGTTATCTTATCCCTTTCCTTTGGCGACCTTCTACCACTATCATCCTTTGAATCCTCTTAGGAAAGAAAAATGGGGGCCGGGTAACGCTTTTCAACCAGTTGTGTTTTGCTGGAAATACTTTAAAACAAGATACGGTGGGCCACGCCGTCAGTGCCGATCTGAGGGAAGACTGTGTAAAATCAGATCCCGTCATCGTTCCAAAGCTCCCTGGCAGTCTGATTTCCTTTTGCGGGTCAGCTCTTGCCTTCTGCCCACCACCAGACCCCTGACTTTGTGCCCGGCACCTTCTGATGATCTCAGATGTGCAGCTGATACTGTGGGATTCTTTGGCTCCCCTTCTTCATGGGGCTCGTGTTTGATTTGTGTTTCCTGAAGGTCTGCGTCCCTTTCGAGTAGTGGCACCTTAGGGCAGACGTGCTTTCCTCCCTTGACAGCGTGGGAAGGGGGCTGTTCTTCCCTTTAAACATCAACACGGTGATAGGCCGGTGCTCAGGGAAGTGGGTGGTAGATCTGGACTGTTCTGCACTCTTGACCCTCCCCTCGCCGTTGTGGGAATCCCAGGCCTGTGCGCCGGCTGTCAAAGGTCAGATTTATTTTTCTGTTCGCTTTCTTCAAACCGTAGTTTGAAATCCTCTCTGCCAGCTGATTTCAAAACAAACAAAAAAAACTCCAAAGGAAACAAAAAACCAGACTCTTTTTTTTTTTTTTTTTTTTTTATTTCTAGGAGAGAGAGAGAGACAGCGTGAGCAGGGGAGGGTCAGAGAGAGAGGGAGTCACAGACTGAAACAGGCTCCAGGCTCTGAGCTGGCAGTCAGCACAGAGCCCGACGCGGGGCTCGAACCCACGAACCGCGAGATCATGACCCAAGCGAAAGTCGGACGCTCAACCGACTAAGCCACCCAGGCGCCCCTAAAAAACCAGACTCTTGAAGCAGACATGAAATAAAAACCACTGTGCTTGGGAACTTTCTGTCGGGTCCCTTTGGTGCAAAGTTAGAAATATAACAGCTGTGAGCACAGTTTTGAATGATTTGTAGGTTGGGATTTTGTGAGCCTTGGGAGCATAAGATATATTCCTGGACTAGGAGAGAGGGTAAAACCTTGGTCCTTTTGGTCTCCAGTTGCTGCAGAAACCAAACCTGGTTCTTCCTGTATTTTTTTTTTTTTATTGTCAATAATCTGCAATGACTGTCACATTACTGACTGCCCCGATCATTAATTATCTGTGCCACAGAGTCAGTGCACAGGTCTCCATGTTGCCGGTTTCTGTGCCTTATGCCTGCTCGGCACTGACCAGCACAGGCTAGGGAGTTTCAAACTGTGCCGTAAATCCTCATCCATAGGTGAGTTTTTTTGAAATAAGCTAGTTAAGGAGCTTAAGTAGATTGCCTTGACTTTCTCTTGAGATTTCACATTCAAAATTGGCCTTTCTCACATTCTTTTCTTTCAAGTCATCATTATTTCCCTTTTAAGCACGTACGTACACGGTGTCTGACCTGTTTGGATGCATGACCTAGTCATTCATTTCATTTTCAAAGTTTGAGTGTCCTGGCTCGTGTTTATTTCAGCAAACTTGAACGTCCGTCTTAAAATGGCGCGCAGTATTTGAAGGTTCTTACTTGATTTCATTTGATGGGAAGACAAAGGATGAACTGGCAATGTATTTATTGGATTTTAGATTCTACATTCATTTCAGATCCGTTTGCCAAGGCTCTCTTCACCCCAGTGCCTTGTTGCCTGCAGCACATTTAATTTAAAATCAGGTGCCCTGGGGGACTGGCACACAGTAGCCTTCCCGAGGGTTCTTCTGAAGCCATTTGAAATAGAATTGGGGAAGCAAGAGTTTAAGGGACAATGATGCGAAAGGGTGATTATGTAGAGGTCTTGAAAACCTTTTGTAATTTGTTTTCATTTTAATTGACGGGTAAATTTGCAGCATCCGTAGAGGAGCTCATTGTCTCAAACATTTCCAACAGAATTTTACAGATTTTTTTTTTTAAACATTCCATTTTGTTTGAGGACCAGGTTACTACAGCTTGAAAAACATTTTATGTCTTCTTTCGAATGTTCCCAGTAACCCGTTTTGAATTTGTGTGTTGTTTTCCAGTTTCCTAAGGTTATCAGTTTCACCAGTCTGAAGTTTTTGAGTTTAATCCGTTTGTCAGTCTTGTTTTTGTTTGTTTATTTGTTTGTTTTGTTTTAAGAAAAAGTATTCATCTGAGAATAGAATCTTGATCTTAGGAGGATCTCATTTTGAGCCTGTGTTATAAGAGATGGCATACTTTAGATAACTAGTGAATTGATCTAGAAGTTTATTAAACCCGAGAAAACCTGTGTGTCAAAACAAAAAGGCTTTGTCAATCCCTTCTTTACATCAGCTTATTCTGAACCTGTTATTACTGTACTGAAAAGCTAACTATACGACGCATTCGTTTCTCTAAAGGGGTACAGATAAATGTCAACTGCAGTAAGTGAAAATCATAATTACAGTTAGTGTGTATTGAGCAAAGTGCTGTGTGGGCAAAGCACTATGTAAAGTTCTGTATGTAAATAGCACATCCTAGATAAAACTCTGCATTGTGATTAGTAAGAAGAGCGTGCTTTTTGGCTCATTCTCCATTTGAAGGATGATTAGAATCCCTTGCAGGTGATACAGGTCTACCTTTGGGCTTGTTTCACTTCAAAAAAGGAACCTCCAGGAGCTTTTTATATAAAGGACAGACCTCAAAACATCTTCCCTTTGAATACCGAATTTTCCGAAGCCCCCTTTTCAACATTTTACTGATTCCAAGTGCAGTCTTTTCGCCATTTTTTGGAAGGCAGCTATGCTCACCACTATACCACCAACGCAGACTTTTCGCCATTTTTTAAAATGCTGTTTTCCTATAAAATGTAGTTGTACGTGAGCCTCCAGTTTGCCCTTGGTTCAGTTGTTTATAGCCCCTCCTCACAGATTCTAGGTTTCTCTCGGCCCACCTCCCAACCCCCACCCCCAGGCTCATTGTGCCTGGATTGCAATCCAGTTTTCATCAAGGTTAATTTTCATTTAATCTCGAAGATGCAGTAGGACTGGAGTGAGGACCTGAGCCTATAGGTATCTTTATTTTCTCCTTTCAACATTTCTGTATTTTCTGTAATGAGCATGGGTAACTTATGATTGAGAAACAATAAATTCGATATTCTTAAGACCAGCAAAATGAAAAAAAAATTTTTTTTCTGAAGTGCCATGCTAAGCTCCTTAATTTCATTCTTTTGTGATAAATTCTAGCGATGAGATGAGTTTGGTAAACTAAGAGACCCGGGGGTGTTAATCCCTGGCATCTTTCCCTATTATCCTATTTATTTGGCTTGAAGAGTTTTACTTGTCTGTTTTGAGAGGGTATGTTAATTGAGTGATCAGTATTCATTACAAATAATCTTGTCTGTTTTCTTGTTGAGATTCTGAAGGCCCTTTTGCTCTTTCTGTAAAAGCTGAGCAGACTGTATTAACTTCTGGTTTAATTTAAAAAACGAATGTGGAACTTGTTGGCACACACCTTAAAGAATTGCATGTTTAATAATTGGAAGGCTTTCCATCAGATTTGTCTCCAGTCTGAATTAATAATGTTGCTGACTTATTGTTTTAGAAGACGGAGTCCTTGACCTGCTGGGTTGAAAGAATGTGACTGCTCTGCCCCTCTGTGGGTCCTTTAGCTGTGCCTTATCCCCTGTGAATAATTAGAGGTGTTTGAAGGTATTGCGGTAGAAGCCAATTTGTGTCTTTCACTTTGCATATTGTTGAAGCCTCATGAATTAGTCATAAGCAGGCAAAAAATTAACTTCTTCAGACACATATTTTGATGGGTCATGAGGGAGAATGTAAAGTGATCTGTAAAGTATTCTACTGATCCTCTAAGTATTAAATTATTATACCTACAGGCTAATTTCAGAGACAGAAAAAAAAGGCCTTCTTCCTCCCCCTTCAGTAACTAGGCAACAAATTTGGGGGGAAAAAACGTTAATTTTTCTAGGACTGATAAAAGGACTATAACATGAACACTTTTATGGTTTCCTGGAAACCAGAGTCTTGTACTAATTCTTGTTTTTAGTTTTTTTTTTTTTTGGTTATTTTTCTTTTTACTTTTAAATTATTTGAGTTTGAAATTCTTACAACAGCAAACAATACTTCTTGTTGATTTGATGAAATGTGAAACCAAACAAGTAGCTCATTTTTCTCACTTTAGGCATCTGAAACACTGCATCAGAGTAATACGGATTTTAATACTTGCTTAAAATCTAATTTTACATTAACATTTTTTTCCATTGTCTTTTTTTTTTTTTCCAGCTCATGAAACTGAAATTGCATTCTTCTGTGAAGAAGATTATAAGAACTACAAAGCTAATCCCATTTCCTCCTGGTGAAAACCCTTTGGGGGCTTCCTTTTTGCATACCTGTCGTAAACTCTTTACTAGTGAGGTTTTTGAAATTGACAAATAAACTTAAAAAAATTAATCTCAGGCTGTGCTCTTTGAGCTGAAGTCTATCGTGTTTTCTCTCTCTGCAGGTCTGCACTTTTTCTTTCTTTCTAGTTGTAAAATAATATATTTATTTATGAGAAAAAAAATTTTTTTTAAGTGAAAGAAATGGGTATCCAAAACTCATCATGGAATATTGGTTCTCTAGTCTGAAATTAGGGATTATTTGGGTGGCTTGAATGTTGGGTTCTTTAATGTTTTTTTTTTGTTTTTTTTTTTTAATTTATTTCTAGGAGAGAGAGAGACAGCATGAGCAGGGGAGGGTCAGAGAGAGAGGGAGTCACAGACTGAAACAGGCTCCAGGCTCTGAGCTGGCAGTCAGCACAGAGCCCAACGCGGGGCCCGAACCCACGAACCGTGAGATCATGACCTAAGCGAAAGTCAGACGCTCAACCGACTAAGCCACCCAGGCGCCCCGAATGTTGGGTTCTTTAAAAAGATTATAAGATGAGGCACCTGGGTGGCTCGGTCAGTTAAGCGTCCAACTCTTGATTTCAGCTCAGGTCATGATCTCATGGTTTGTGAAATCAAGCCCCATGTCAGGCTCTGTGCTGACAGCAAGGAGCCTGCTTGGGATTCTCTCTCTCCTCACCCCCCCCGCCCCTCCCTCATGCAGATGTTCTCTCGTATGTGCCCACTCGCTCGCTCTCTCTCTTAAATAATAAATTTAAAAACAATTTTTTTTTAATTTTTTTTTTTTTAATTTTTTTTTTATTTATTTCTAGGAGAGAGAGAGAGATAGCGTGACCAGGGGAGGGTCAGAGAGAGAGGGAGTCACAGACTGAAACAGGCTCCAGGCTCTGAGCTGGCAGTCAGCACAGAGCCCGACGCGGGGCCCGAACCCACGAACCGCGAGATCATGACCTAAGCGAAAGTCTGACGCTTAACCGACTAAGCCACCCAGGCGCCCCTAAAAACAATTTTTTAAATAAAAAAAGAACAAATGACTGAGGTCATTCTGTTCCTTTTGTATTTTTCTCCATGGTTTCTACTAGAGCCTCTGTGGATTGTTACTGGTTTGGGTTTAGCAGAGATGATGTGTTTCTTATGAGAGGTTTTCTGATGTAAGAGGGTTTCTTTTCTTTTCATATTTCAGCCCACACAAATAACATGGCTGATTTTTTTCCCCCCTGAGCTGTGTTTCCTCACTTCAGGAGCAGAATATAATAGAACCAAACCCATTTCTTTGGAGAGAAAAGGTACAGGATGTTTGCACTTAGGGAAGAAAATCATTCATTGAGAACAAGTCTAAGTCATGGAAGGTACATTTTTTTCAGAATAATAGCATACTCCGGATTCCCGATAATGGCCACTACCACTTCCTGAAGAGTCCTGATTTCGGGGGGGCCCCTCGGACAGCATGTGTATCCAATCAGAACTCCTACGAGGTTGGTGGCCCTAGAATTATCCCGAGAGCCCTTAAGTTTTGCTAGTAGGACAAAATGGTTCCTTGTGGTAGAGGTTAAAAAAATCAGCTTTGAAAGTCTGGTTAACATAATCAAAATGGGGTTTTGGGGGGCTTTGTTGAAAGATTTAGTAGAGCCTTGTTTAAAAGAGAAAGTTGATTCATGGTTTCATTCATTAAAAAAGGGCTGAATGGACCCATGACCCCGGCTTCTGGGGAGTTAACAAATAAGACAGAGTTTTTGCCTCAGCAAGGAGGGAAAGATGTCTAAGCAAGGGATTTTAATACAATAGCAGTGGAAGCTGCTATGGAAGTATTGATGACGGGGTAGTTAATTCTACATTCTGTGTGGGATTGATTTTTATTTTTATTTTTATTTATTTATTTTGAGAGAGAGACAGAGAGAGAGAGAGGAGAGGAAGCCAGGGAGGGGCAGAGAGAGCGGGAGAGAGAGAATCCCAAGCAAGCCCGACACAGGGGCTCCATCCCACAAACGGCGAGCCGAAAACAAGAGTTGAACACTTAACCGACTGAGCCACCCAGGCGCCCTGGGGTTAATTTTTATTTTAAAAGAAGTATCAGTCAAGCTTTTTCTTAAAAGATTGAATAGGAATTTTTGCTTAGTAGAAAATAAGGGAAAAAGCTTTTAGGAAGAGGGAGCAGCATATGTAAAGGCAAAGTGCTGTGGAGTTGCAGATTTCGTGTGCCGGCGTGGAAAGCCCTTGCACCAGAGTGGAGGAACATAAGGCCAGAAGGGAGGTTGAGCGAGGCTTTATCTATCACGCTAAGGAGCTGGAGCTTTATCTAGAAGGCAGTAGGGAGCCAAGGGAAAGATTGAGACAGATAGACTACAGGACTAGATTTGTGTTTTAGAAAGATTTATGTTTTTTTGATTTTTTTAAATTTTTTTTAATGTTTTATTTATTTCTAGGGGAGAGAGAGAGAGAGAGACAGCGTGAGCAGGGGAGGGTCAGAGAGAGGGAGACACAGATTCTGAAGCAGGCTCCAGGCTCTGAGCGGGCAGTCAGCACAGAGCCCGACGCGGGGCTTGAACCCACGAACCGCGAGATCATGACCTAAGCGAAAGTCGGAAGCTTAACCGACTAAGCCACCCAGGCGCCCTGAAAGATTTATGTTTTGACAGCAGCGTCTAGAGGGCAGAAAGATGGTTGTCGTGGGCCGGGCGAAGACGAGAAGGCCTGACCTCCCCGGCATGGCACAGGGGAGGGAGAGGGGAGGAGACTTGCCTGCCAGAGAGCGTTGACATTTGGTCACGCGTTACATGGCAAGCGGCACGTCAGGTGTTTTTCCTATGTTACTACCTCATTTACTTTTTACCACAGCTCTTCAGTCTTGACAGTATCTGATCTATTTAGGATAAAGAAGTTGGGGCCCAGAGACGTAACGATGCAGTCGTGTGCAGTGGGATTGTAGCTGCACGTATCTTGAAGTCCTGACCTCGCCCTGTCAGCCCTGTGGCCTCCGGCTAGAGGTGTGGGGTGGAGTGACAAGTAGAGTCCCAGGACTTGGGGAGGGCTGCGTGTGGAGGGGGTAGCAGAAGGAGGAGTAGGGGCTTTGGTGAGTCTCGCCGGAGTGAGTGGCTGGCTTCATGGCCAGGACAGTTGACCCAAATAGGGAGTTTAGTGAGAAGAACAGGTTATAGCACATTCCATTTGCTCATTTGGCAAACACTCTGTTGACACGCAAGTTTTTCTTTTCTAAGAAAAATGAAGCCTATCTTTTACCTGTGTATTTTCTTTTTTAACAAATAATACAGAAAGATGCATGCAAAACCCTTTATTTCAGTGTGTATTTTCCTTCTTAGACAGTTACATATAGTCCTAAACACAGGTGAGAAAATCAAAACTAGAAATATATTATGACTGCGGTGCCCGGGTGGCTCAGTCAGTTGAGCGTCTGACTTCTGCTCAGGTCATGATCTCACGGTTCGTGGGTTTGAGCTCCGCATCGGGCTCTGTGCTGACAGCTGGGAGCCTGGAGCCTGCTTCAGATTCTGTGTCTCCCTCTCTCTCTCTGCCCCTCCCCCGCTTTACTCTCTCTCTTTTTCAAAAATAAATAAATTTTAAAAAATGATTTAGAAATATATTATGACTGAAGAGGGCTTCTGCCAGGAATGGGCGATTGGTTCAAAACTACAGAAAACCTATCAAAGTAATTCACAAAATCTGTAGATTAAAGGAGAAAGAAATTATGCTTCTCTCAATAGATACCCAAAAAGCATTTGATGACCTTCAACCCTGAGCGGGAAGAGGATGTGCCCTTTACTTTAAAAAAAATTTTTTTTAATGTTTTATTTATTTCTGAGAGAAAGAGAGAGAGACAGCGTGAGCAGGCGAGGGTCAGAGAGAGAGGGAGACACAGAATCTGAAGCAGGCTCCAGGCTCTGAGCTGGCTGTCAGCATAAAGCCCGATGCAGGGCTCGAACCCGCGAACCATGTGATCATGACCTGAGTCAAAGTCGGATGCTTAACCGACGGAGCCACCCAGGCGCCCCAGATGTGCCCCTCACTTAAAGAAGTTACCCACAGAGAACCTGCCTACTGGAGAAGTGTTCTAGACAGACCTAGTAGAGAGGATACAGGACCAAGATGGCGGCTGTGGCCGGGACTATTCAGAATTGTCCTGCGGGTCTCTTTGTAGACAGTACAATAAAAGTGATAAGGAGCGCAGATAGTGGAGAGCAGGAGGTAAACCATCCCTTTGCAGACAACAGGATCCCAAGCAGAGCACGTGACACATTAGGAGACGGAATAAGAGACTTCCAGAGCACCCGATAACGAGCCTACGGGGACCTGTGCACACAACGTTACTAGAAAATATAAAAGACCTAAGTGAAGAGGGATCACCTGTTCATAGTTAGAAGCGCTGGTGTCGTAAAGACAGATTTATACTGAATCTGTAATTTAGTGCAACCTCCATCAAACCCCAAAGGATCGATTTAAAGATTTATTTGGAAAAGGAAATGTGCAAGAAGAGCCAAGATGAACTGAGAAAGCAAAAAGAAAGGGGGATTACGTACCAGGTGTCAAAATATGTTTTAAAGGTGTAGTCATTAAAACAGCTGGGGAGTGATACGGAAATAGAAAAAAAAAAAAAAAAGCACTAGAATAGCAAATAGGGGTGCCTGGGTGGTTCAGTTGGTTAATCATCTGACTTCAGCTCAGGTCATGATCTCGCGATTCATAAGTTTGATCCCCACATTAGGCTCTGTGCTGACAGTTTGGAGCCTGGAGCCTGCTTCAGATTCTCTCCCTGCTTTGCCTCTCTCTTTCTCTCTCTCTCTCTCTCAAAAATGAAACAGTGAAAATTTTAAAAAGAAAAGAATAGCAAATAAAACTAATGTATAGGGAAACATAGTATATAATAAAGGTATTTGTAAGAGAAGAAGGATATTTAGCACCTGGCTTGGCATTAAAAAATGATTTAGGGTCCTGCTTCCACCATTCACAAACATTTCAAATGGATTAAATCACTAGGCATGAAAAACAAGATGATGAGCTTATTAGAAAAAAGTATGGATTATATTTATAACCATGGAAAAGTCCTTAACA